ATATAATAGTGAAATATTGAAACGATTCCCAACTATTCATTGGAAACATATTTAATACATAGAGTCCAATATCCCGACCCTCAGAAAGTCGGGTCAAATATAGCTCTAGTTTTAAGCGAAACAAAACCGGTATTTTAGGATTTCGGGCCATAACTGTATTCAATAGATTTGTTGGTCTATGAGCCTGTTTTGTAACTTTTTGACCACAAATAATCATAAATATTAAAAGTAAAATACAGGTAATAATAATAAATATTAAAAATATTTTTACTAAAATTTTTGTTTGCCTATGAAATACTAAAAAAATCATTAGTACTATACCGGGTGTTGTAAAATAATAGAGTATAAACAATATATAATTGAATAGTCGATTATAATTATTAACAAACTGGCATATATAGTTATGTGAATTAATTAATTCAATTATTAACTTATAATTAATTTTATTATTATTAGTATTATTATCGATATTAGACGTATAAATTGTTGCCGACATAAGGGTATAGATATCTATAAAACATTGTTGACTTAAATAGACACCAAATGATAATAAAGATGAACCTGAAAATAGTAAACTATACGTTTGGATTGAAGATATTAAAAATAAAATCATGGTGATAATACTGCTTAAAATAGACATTTGTGCACCGGTAGCTGCCGGTGCCTGCCAGGCCAATTTATAGCCATAGCCAAGTATTCCAATAGTGGATAAACTTGTTAATAATATTAGATAATTGTGAAATGATACTACCAATACAAATGTATAGTATATTATTTTCCTAATTTTGTTTTTATCTAATGGATATCTAAAACAATTGTATTTAATATCATTGACTTCTTGTAAAAAATCCAATCGTTGATGATATTCATGATAGTGAGTGAAAGTCCGTATCAAATAATTGCTAACCAAAAATGAGACAATCAATGAGGCAATTAGTTTTTGGTTAGCCAACTGATTAAATGGATCACCCACTAGATTATTAAACCATTGCTTTTTAAATTTAAAAATAATATTAATTCTAATTATTTCATTAGAAATATAATTAATATAATTATTTAATTTATAAATATATTGTATAAATTATAAATAAATTTTGTTTTGATTACCTCATCCACAATAGCAACTGCTATAAGTTTAACGCAATTAAGTAATACCATTAGATCAATACAAATGACCCAGATATATTTACAATAATTTGGTTTATTTAATAAATATTCATGTATTGATTTTACTAAAAATATATTATAATTAAAAGATATCTTTTCTGAACTTTCTATCACTGATTTAATATCATAAGATCTATAATCAATTGAAAATGTTTTTAATTTTTCAATTATTATTATTAAAACATTTATTAATAATCTAATACTAAATTGAAATATGTTTACAATAAATTGTTTACAACATTTATATAATAATTTATAATTAATAACCATTTTTATTTCTAGATATTACATGAATATATTGTAATATATTTATAATCTAAGTAAACAATTATTTTTTAAATATAACTTTTTGCATAAAAATATAATAATAATTGTTATTTAGTCTACTATTTATATATATTGGCATAAATCTAATATATTGTGTTTATATTGCTTAAGACTATGAGAATATATTTTTTTAATTCAAATTAATTAATTAATTGCATGATATTTCGGTATTATTGATTATGATAAAACTGCTATTATAATACATTTACAAAAATTACAATATACTTATGCATACTTATATAAATTATAATTAATTATTTTTGTTTATTATTGATTAGTTAAAATTATTTTATTAATATTTTATAATTAGATAGACATCTATTGTGTTTGAAACAAATCAATAACTAAATAGTTTTATAATTTTTAATTACTATTTTACTAATATATTAATAGTTATCACCAATTGATGATACAGTATTAATAATTTAGTTTTTATAATTAATTAGTTAGTTATAATTATAGTGAATTGTATAAACAGTTTTAAAGTAGATTTCTAATAGCTATCATTTTCTATAATTTTATTTGATTATTATCCCATTTTATATAGCAGTGTAGTACATGTAGTATAATATTATATGTTGATTATTTTGTCACATTATTAAAATAGCTATAAATATGGAAAACAATAAAGTTAAATTTTTATATAATATAAAAACAAAATTATTTTGATAATATTTTTACGTTTATTACTTATATTTATTTAAAACAGATTCATACTTTTCTTTTATTGCGTTTTTTGCGTTCAAATAAATTTATAAAATAACATTAATTTAAATTAATAAATTAATATCATGTTATTAAGTATAATAAAAAATAACAAAATTAGTAGAATTATATCATTACGTTTATTTAAAAAATTGTTTTTAGTAAAAAAACAGATCTTTAATTATATAATAATATTTTAGTTTTGATAAAATCTATTATTAATATAGTTAGTAAAACTTGAATAAATTTTAATATTTGATTAAGATTTTTATACTTTAAAAATAAATAATATATTAAGAATAATATTAACTATAGGTATTTATTATAAATATAATTATATTTTAATTATTTATAAAATGCTTTTACCAAATAAAGTTTATAGAATAGTCAATAACTATTAACATAAAAAATTAATCAATTTTATATATATTATTAAAAAATTATTTTTATTATTTTATACGTTTACATTGAATTGATAAACTTAATATACATTATAAATTAATTAAATAATATAACACTGAGTTTTTTTGTTTAAATACAAGTGTGAAAAATATGGGAAATATTATTATTTGTTAATAATTGATAAATTAAATAAATTGAAACATATTTAAGTTTTTAAGATTATTTTAAGTAAAATATTATTATTTTGTTTTTTAAATATTACATTAAATATTAATTATTTATTTGTTTGTTTGTTAAATATTGTTTGTTGTAAATGTTTGTAAAATATTTTCAGATAATATTAAATATAATGTAAATTAATTAATATAATATCTGTTTTCCTAATAACTTGATAATAAAAACAAATTAATAAAACAAATTTTAAACAATTATTATTATAACATATTATTAATGATTAAATATTTAATAAAATAAAATAAAACAAATTAGATATGACACTTAACAAATATGTATTTAAATTATATTTTTTGTTTATAATTTTTTAAAAAATAATGTTTAGATAAGCTATTATTAAATAAAGATAATATATTATAACAATAATGTTAGATAATTTCTAATTTGTGCATTTATATTGATACAATATTGTCTACAATATAATGTTTATACAGTTAGATAATACTATAGTTTAATCATATAATTTTTACTAATTAGATATCAATCGCAAAATGTATATTTATTTATTTTTAGATATATTAATATATGTATTACTTTATTTGTTTAGATATATATACTGTAAATAATACATAGTTTTTAATTCAAATATTATTGATAATTTATACATAAATAAATAGATTTTTTTTAAAAATGGTACGAGCTCATTCTCTGAGTATTTTTTTTAGTTTTATCATAGTCAAATATTGTATATTTTAATGTTAGCTAGCTTTTTTTTAGAAAAAAAATTATTTGAACAAACATTATATAAACAAATAAATTAAAAAAAATAATTATTCCCATAACAACTAATAATTCCCATTTAAATATACCTTAAATCTTATATTATTATTAAAAAAAAATAACCATTAAAATATAATAATAATAATAATAATAATTAAACAAGCTCATATATTGTTGATATTTGTTCAAATAATTTTTTTTATAGCTAGTTTATATCACAGAATCAACTCGACAATATGATTTTTTTTAAATATATAAATATAAAATACATTATTATTATTATTATTATTATTGCGATTGATATTAAATCTAACTTTTTGTTTGGATTAACTATAAATGTTTTGATATTTTGTTTAAATTACTATAATATAATATATTTTGATATAAAATTTTTACACTTATAAGCATAATAATAATAATAATAATAATAATAATAGAGATATTTAGATAATATTTAATATCATATATTCAATAAAGTGCATTAATAATATAATATTGGTTGTGATTTAAAAAAAAATTAATTAATAATTACATAATAGTATTTTGTATACATAAACCATAATTAGTAAAATAACATTAATAATTTGATTAAAAAATTTTAAAAATCAAATTAAGTACAATTTATATAAATTTAGATTAAAATATAAATAATATTAAAAATAAGTTTTTTAAAATATACATTTACAGTATATGTATTTTTTTAATCTATTTAATGTATTAGTGCGTTAATAAATAATTTAATGAAACGATTATTAATGGCAATCTCTATATGTGTGAATATATATATAACTATAAATATATAATATAAAATAAAGTTAAAAATTAATTTTTTTTTTAAATAATTATAAATTGAAAAATCCTAATAATAGACAACAAAACATAATTATAATAGAATAATTTAAAAAATAATTAAAACAAATTTTACAAACTAAAAAAATGCACAAAATATCATTAAAAATAATAATATTTTAATAATTTTGTTAAAATATAAACTAATTATAGTTTATTTAATTTGTCTAATGATATAAAATGTAGAATATTTTTTGTTATCATTTATTCAATTATTATGATTTTAGATACCTTTCAATAACTGTCTGTATATTATTATTATTATATTATTATTAAGTATGAATTATGGCAACCCATATGATTATTACTATTATTAATAATAATAATTACTAATTATTTGTGGTATCTCTTTAATACATTTTATAAATCATTGTTATTAAAAAAAAAAATTATTTATCATAACATTATATCCGAAATCTAATAATAGTTTTTTTTCTTAATATTTCAATCATCGATCATAATAGTCAACTCTATCAATATAATCACTATTTAAGTGATAATTTATTTTAATTTTTTCTGATAACACATTTGTTTGTTAGTTTGTTTTATATGTTTTTTGTGTATGTATTATATGGTATATATAGATATGGCATAATAATAGATATATATACGAAAAAAGTATTGCATTATATATATATACAGTATTTAATGTATAGAAAACTGATTGATTTGAAGACTGTCCTAATTTTTATTTCATTTCTCCCAGTACTTCATCTCCCGTTCCCATTGAGACCCGTCATCATCATCAGTATAGCGGTGCCCGAAAAAACTTGATATTAGGATTGCCGTGTATTTGTCGCGATTGCGGATCGTATGGATAAAAGTAGGGATCGTCGGGTGCCGGGGCGGCAGCAATATGATAGCTGGTCGGATAGCAACCGGTTCGCCAGACTCGGTGGCCGGGAGGCGGTAGCGGCGGACCGGGAGGTGGAATGCAAAAGAAACGATCTATTGATTGAATAAAAAAGTTATTTAAAAAAATTATTAATAAATACTTTTTCTAAAAGTTATTTATAACATAAAAATTTTATTTATATTTTATATTATAAATATGATATGATGTATCCATATATGTATGTATTATTATCTATTAATTATTATATTAAAAATTTATAAACCAAATATTAAGACACATTTTTAAAAAAAAATTAATGAGAAGCAAATATTTTAGGATTATTATAATAAAATACATAAATTAAATTAAATTAAAAAATAATATATAAGATGACAAAAAAATGTATTATTAAAAAAAGTAATTTTTGAATTAAATTATATAAAATTTATTATTGTAAAATAGTTGTCCTTAAACATAGAAATATTCAAACTATAAATATATTTTTTTATAAATTAGTATATTTTTAATTAAAAATTATATTATAGTGTTAAAAATATGAAAAATTATAAAATATTTTTACTATTATATAATTTAATTGAAAACTTTATTAATAATAGCTAAATTTATGTACAGATAATATACTGTAAAAAATAGTTTGTAAGCAATAAAATAATATATAATAAATAAAAGCTAACTATATTTTCACTATATTTTCACTGTTGACTATCATTATATAATTGTAAATATATATAAATATAAGTTATATATATATGAAATCCCTTATCATTGATCAAATTGAATAAACACTTATATATATATATATATTTTCATTGATTATATTACTCACGATTTTCAAGTGTTTTTATTTTACTTGTTTTGTTTTATAAAACATTTTTCTCATCACTATTATCGCAGATGTTATCAAAATTACATATAATTTATTTACAGTGATTTATATATATATATGTATATATATAATATAAAAATTATAAAATAAAATTAGTAGTTATTTCTACTGAGAGTTTATATACGATTTATAAGTATTATCACACATCATAAGATTATTATTATAGATATGATATGTGTTTAGTATGCTTAGTACTAACACATGCCTTATATAAAAAAACTATATAAATATATATATATAAATTATTTATTACAATTAATTATATATATATATATATATATATATATATATATATATATATATATATATATATATATAGTAGTTTTGGTTATTATTTTAAACATTTGTAAAATAGCAATAAATATTTCAGTACTCATCTTAAATATTTGAAAAATGATTTTTTTTCGGAAATAATTTTATTATTTAAATTATTATTATTATTATTATTTGTAGTTTTTGTTTTCAATTTATAATCGGATAATCAAAATTTAAAAAAAACACTTTCATAAATTTATATTAAGCTATAGATATATTATATGCTATTTTTTAAAAATATATATTTTGTTGAGCAAACTTTAATAAAAAATATTTATAATACTATTTACATATAATTTATTTGATTTACTAACGGATGAATAACTAGTATTTATTTTAATATTTATAAATGCAAACCAACTGAAAGTATAAAATTGAATTTATTTCATAAACAAAATTAAATTATTGTTTATTAAATGAATTGAAATCAATTTAAAAAAAAATATAAATTAGATTTTTTTTAGAAAAAAATATTTTCTTATCAAAAATAAAATATTAAATTTAACAAAAATTTACTAAAAAATTTCCATTTCTCTAAATAACAATTTAATTACAAACATTAACTGTTTTTAATATTATTTTTTTAGTATACACTTCTAACTATTTTTTAAATTTTATTTAAAGTAAAATACATATTTATATGACAATAAATAAAAAATAAAATAAACTATTATAAAGCTAACTATATTACATATTAACAAATAATACTGTAATTACAACAACAACAATGATAGAAAAATTGGTATCATTAAGTAAACTATACAATAGTTAACTAAAATGTACCTTTTATTATAGTTTTTTTTGTTGGTAAAAAAATTGTAACTATTTATATATAAATTTATATATAATAATAATACTACTAATAATAATAATAACAGTAATAATAATCTATACAAACATTAATAAAGTTGTAATACTAAAGTCAACTATCCATATACTTAGGTACATACATATCATATACAGTATATATATATATATATATATATATATATATATATACCGGTATATAGCTAATGTGAATTTTATTGCCCAACCATTACATGTTTTTGTTATTGTTGTTGGGATGATATTATATGTATGAAAATAAAACCGCAATTAGTTTTTTAACGCTAGTAATAGTGACTATAAAGTACTTATATATATAATACTACAGTATTTCTAAGTTCTAACAATAAGTGGTGGGGAAAGGGATAGTAGTATAAAAATGGTTTGACCACTCAAAAAAATAAGTCATATACTAAAAGTAATTATACTGTATATATATGTATATAATATCACACACACACTCAATATCATACAGTCATTAACCGTGTATATGATACGGTACAGTATATCTATCATACATATTATATGCTAAGTGTATGGTGTGGTTGCCTTTTTAGTTGTTGTTAGTGGCCTTAAGTACCTCTAATTTACTGTACTTTATATACTATATATACAGTATATTGAAGGACAGGTAGAAAGAGAAGAATAGTTTATACTTTTAATATATGATAAGCAAAGAAAATAAATAATAAAAATAAAAGTAATATTATTTATATATATATTTATATGAAAGAAAAATATGTTTTCGTAATATATGATAATAATATGATATATATATATAAAGCAAATCTATATGTAAAAAGTTAATATAATTTTTTTAGCAAAGAAAAAAAGATATTTATAAATTACAATTAATTATATCCGTAAATACCATATAATAATAATAATTACATTAATAAATGTAAATCTCTTTAAATATGTTTTGTTGCAAAATATCTTTTTTTTGTACAAAAATTTAAATACTGTTAAATATTTATAGTAAAGAAAAGTAGTTATTTGAAAGTTAATTGTTTTACAAAAATAAATTTCATAAATGATTTTATTATTGTTATGTTATTTATATATTTTATTAATCAAAAATTAAAAAAAAATTAAAGCTATTATTATTAAAAAATTAAAAATTAAATTATATATATATATATTGTATAATTTGATTAATAAAATAAATCTAACATTTATCTTTTTTAATTAATATATAATCCAAATGTATAATTATTAGACTTTATATTATGTATAAATGTTATAAATTATATATATGTATAAATGTATTATATAAAGTGTAATAAGACTTATTATTTTTGGGTATTTAAGACAAATTTAATTAATATTTTATATATTCATTTAGTATTCAACATTATATTCAGATAATATTTGTCAATTTTATGGCAAATAAAAAGGCATTAAAGCATTATTTTGCATAAATTTGTGTGTAATTTTAGATTAAAATTGTGAATTAATTAATTAATTATATATATAAAATAATAACTATTGGGTAAAGATATATATTTGTGTGCATATAAGCGGCAATAATATAGTAATAATAAAAATGCTTTATATATATAGATATATTTTGGGTATTAGACGTTAAAATTAATTACAATGAATTACAATAAATGCGTGTAATTTATATTATTTTTACGTTTAATGCACACTATTATCATAATATACAGTATATATATACAGTATGTGGAAAACTTTATGCAAATATTCTCGAAAAACTAAATTTTTATTAAAAACATTTAACACTAACTGAACAATACTGTACTACTACTGTACAAACAAAAGCAAAATACAGTATCAAGTAATACAATATATATTTTTTAAAAATACAATACAATAGACAGACATAAAATTTTTCATTAAATACACTAAAAGTTGTATATATATATGAAAACAAATTGCTTGTAATTATAAAGTAACCAAACAAACAAAAAAATCATTACTAACTTATAGTGTATACTGTATTTGGTTACATAATAATACAGGGATCACAAGCTTTCATACTAATAATAATAATAATAATAATAATAATAAAATTAAAATTAGTATACGATCTATGAGGCACTGGTATGTCTAAAACACACAAATTTAATACGGAAAGGGATAATAAACTTTTAATTATCACCAAATTATAATATAATTTTATTTATTAAAATTTTGCATGCAATATTTATATATATATATACTGTATTATAAAATACAATATATATATAATATATAAAATGCATATTTAATTTTTTAAAATGTCAAATCTATGATATACAGTGTAGACTATATACAGTATATTAATATTAAAGTTTAGCAGGCTATACACCCATAATCATAAGTGTCTATGTAAAAAATGTGAATAATTAAATTTATTATATAGTTAAAAAAAATTTAATAAATAAAAATTTGACTATTTATTACTTATGTATATTATGCAAATTAACTATATGTATATTAATATATATATAATACTTCATATATATATACTGCATATATGAAGATTAAAAAAAATTTGTTATCATATATTATACATACAAATACTGTATAAATTTTATAATCTATTGCAAGTTCATAGAGAAAGTACTCTTTTATATTAGGAGTGGCAATACTATCACATATATAGTATACATATATATATAATAATAATAATAATAATATTTTTATGTTTATGAGTTGTATGGTGTGTGTGTGTGTGTGTGTGTGTGTGTGTGTGTGTTTGTAATGTATTTAAAGTATCTTTAAATATTATATGCAAATTTATGCTATGATATGATATGATGTGGTAAATCAAAACTATTTTCAAAAAAAGCATTACAAAACTTATTTGTAACGCAAAAGTGAGGGATAAAACAACAACAAAATCACAACATTAAAATAAAATACTTATAATAATAATAATAATGAAAGCGCCGCACAAACTATAATAATGGTTTCACTTGAATATTACTGTATATAAGTTTTAAAGTATTAAAAAGTATTATACATTAGATATAGTAAATACTTTTGGTTAAAATGAAAATGAGTTCATATTTGTATTATAGCGGTATATATACGATAATATATACGATACACACACAC